CGTGATATATTGTTGTCAGCTGACCAGCAGCATTTGCGTGATATATTGTTGTCAGCTGACCAGCAGCATTTGCGTGATATATTGTTGTCAGCTGACCAGCAACATTTGCGTGATATATTGTTGTCAGCTGACCAGCAGCATTTGCGTGATATATTGTTGTCAGCTGACCAGCAGCATTTGCGTGATATATTGTTGTCAGCTGACCAGCAGCATTTGCGTGATATATTGTTGTCAGCTGACCAGCAGCTGCAACTTCGGCTCAACACACTTTCATTGTGTTGAAGTGAACATTATCACAGGTCAGCTAGGCTACGACAGCGTTGGAAATTTATTGTTGTACCAGAAGCTAGGTTTGACCCGTAATTTTCGTGCCACCGCAAAAAAGAAATCCCGTAAAGGATCGCACGATACTGCACCTGTGTCTCTTTCTCCAAGGCGAGGAAAACCTTGTTGCAGCTGATAAAATGGACTGTGTCAGTATTTTTTTGTTGTTTTATGTGGCTCTCACTTGTACTTTACTCATGGTTAGGGGATCTTGAGAGTGGAAAGCAGAAGTATGTACCTGTTGGTAGGTGCCTAGGTGTTATTCTCTTTATACCTGTTGCCCCTATTTACCTAGCAGCAAGTAGGTACCTGGGTGTAAGTCTCCTTTCACCTAATGCTCTCTTTCTCTTTACTCACACACACACACACGCACTCAATGGACCTGACGACACTGGAGGACAGGAGATATAGGGGGGATATGATAACGACATATAAAATACTGAGAGGAATTGACAAGGTGAGCAGAGACAGGACGTACCAGAGATGGGACACAGCAACAAGGGGTCATAATTGGAATCTGAAGACTCAGATGAATCACAGGGATGTTAGGAAGTATTTCTTCAGTCACAGAGTTGTCAGGAAGTGGAATAGTCTGGGAAGTGATGTAGTGGAGGCAGGATCCATACACAGCTTTAAGGAGAGGTACGATAAAGCTCATGGAGCAGGAAGAGTGACCTAATAGCGACCAATGAAGAGGCGGAGCCAAGAGCTGTGACTCGACCTCAGCAACCACAACTAGGTGAGTAAACACACACACACACACACACACACACACACACACACACACACACACACACACACACACACACACACACACTCATACACACACACATACACACACGCATATATATATATATATATATATATATATATATATATATATATATATATATATATATATATATATATATATATATATATATATATATATATATATACGTACATACATACATACATACATACATACATTACATACATACATATGAAAGGATACTCAATTGCCATACAAATATATACGCAAGTATACGAAGCAATGGTTGCCCAGCTCGGTAGCTGCGTTAGCATAAGAATAGACGTTGCCTACAGAATCTCTCTCTCTCTCTCTCTCTCTCTCTCTCTCTCTCTCTCTCTCTCTCTCTCTCTCTCTCTCTCTCACTCTCTCTCTCCTTCATTCTCTCTCATCACTCCTATCTCTTGCTTTCATTATCACTGTTTACAGTGTTCTGTTTACCCTTTCCTGTTAACGTCTCCCTGGTAGTTCCTAGTGTTCAGTGGCTACAGTTTACCCTCTGTTATTTTGCCCCCTGCTGTTAACGGCATCCTTCTGTTGCTCCCTTAAACTGCACTGCACTTAAATCTTATTTCCTGTGTTCATCTCCCTTAATTACCGTTTCTCTTAATCACTGTTATATAGCTCCCTCTCCCTTCACTTCCGTTTTCTTCCTTCCACTCTCTTTAATTCCGTTTGCTGTCTTCCTCGACCGTTATTTCCGTTTTCTATCTCCCCCTTACAATTTATTATCTAGTTCTCCCTTCACTCCCGTTTTCTGTATCAGTCTCCCTTACTTCCAGTTTTCTATATTTTACCCTAATTCCCGTTGTATGTATTCATCTCCCTTAATTCCCATTTTCTATCTTCTCCATTAATTCCTATTTTCTAAATTCTCCCTTAATTCCCATTTTCTATTTCCTCCCTTAATTCCCGTTTTCTATCTTCTCCATTAATTCCTATTTTCTATCTTCTCCCTTAATTCCCATTTTCTATATTCTACCTTAATTCCCATTTTCTATCTTCTCCCTTAATTTCCATTTTCTATCTTCTCCATTAATTCCTATTTTCTATCTTCTCCCTTAATTCCCCTTTTCTATCTTTAAATCCCCTCTTCTATATCCCTCTCCCTTAATCCCGTTTTCTATCCCTTTCTCTCTTAATTCATATTTCGTTTCTTACTCTCCCTTTATTTCTGTTTTCTGTCTTTCTCTCCCGTAATTCCCATTTTCTATCTTACTCTCCCTTAATTCCGTTTCATCTCTTCCTCTCTCTTAATTCCCGTTTTCTCTTTCTAACATTTAGTTCATATTTCTATCTCTCTTTATTTTAAGTGATTCTCATTTTCTGTGTCTTCCCGTTCACTGTTATCTCGCTTCTTTCCCATTTTCTGGCTTCTGTTGTGTATAAGAGAGAGTTACTGTTACTACTACTACGACTACTACTGCTACTACTACTGCTACTACTACTACTACTACTGCTGCTACTACTACTACTACTACTACTGCTACTACTGCTACTACTACTACTGCTACCACTACTACTACTACTACTGCTACCACTACTACTACTACTACTACTACTTCTACTACTGTTAATGCTGCTAATACTACATGTACCACCACTACTACTACAACTTATACCACTACTACTACAACTCACGCCACTACTACTACTTACACCACTACTACTACAACTTACACCACTACTACTACTAGTGTGTTGCTACAAACAACACCTTCAGTAACTAAGGTAAGTATATATAACCTTAACAACAACAAAATAACTACAACAGCTACGACAACAACTGCAACAACTGCAACAACAAAGGCTACATTAACTACAACTGAGGAGAAAGTAGTGGGTGGGAGGTTCTTAATCCTAGGACTTAGAACAACTCTCTCTTTCCTAGGATCGAGCCTGACTGCTTCCCATTCCCCTCTCCCCCAAGGAGCTCTGTGACCCCCAACGGGTTTAGTGCTCCTCAGTATTTTTAGAAACAATGAAAGCAGGAATAAATTTTGGATATGGTGTTTTCTTTGTCAGGAAAACTTTGACTGACTCTTCTGTGTTTATTATGTCTATAATAATAATAATAATAATAATAATAATAATAATATTAATAATAATAATAATATTAATAATAATAATAATAATTAATAATAATAATAATAATAATATTAATATTATTATTATTATTATTATTATTATTTATTATTATTATTATTATTATTAATTATTATTATTATTATTATTATTATTATTAATTATTAATATTATTATTATTATTAATATTATTATTATTATTATTATTATTATTATTATATTAAACATTCTGAGGGATTGTGATGGTACAGCACATGATACATGTACTGAGTGATGGTGTTGGTGATACAGTGCAGGATACATATACTGAGTAATGGTGGTGTTGGTGATACAGTACATGATACATGCACTGAGTGATAGTGGCGGTTATACAGTGCAGGATACATTCACTGAGTGATGGTCGTGGTGATACAGTGCAGGATACATGTACCGAGTGATGGTGGTGGTGATACAGTGCAGGATACATATACTGAGTAATGATGGTGGTGGTGATACAGTGCATGATACACGTACTGAATGATGTTGGTGGCGATACAGTACAGGATACATGTACTGAGTGATGGTGGTATTGATACTGTACAGGATACATGTACTGAGTGATGGTGGTAGTGATACAGTACAGGATACATGTACTGAGTGATGGTAGTCATGATACAATACAGGATACATGTACTGAATGATGGTGGTAGTGATACAGCACAGGATACATGTACTGAGTGATGGTAGTCATGATACAATACAGGATACATGTACTGAGTGATGGTGGTAGTGATACAGTACAGGATACATGTACTGAGTGATGGTAGTCATGATACAATACAGGATACATGTACTGAGTGATGGTGGTAGTGATACAGTACAGGATACATGTACTGTGAGATGGTGGTAGTGATACAGTACAGGACACATGTACTGAATGATGGTGGTAGTGATACAGTACAGGATACATGTACTGAATGATGGTGGTAGTGATACAGTACAGGATACATGTACTGAATGAAGGTGGTAGTGATACAGTACAGGATACATGTACTGAATGATGGTGGTAGTGATACAGTCCAGGATACATGTACTGAGTGATGGTGGTGGTGATACAGTCCAGGATACATGTACTGAGTGATGGTGGTGGTGATACAGTCCAGGATACATGTACTGAGTGATGGTGGTGGTGATACAGTCCAGGATACTTACTGAGTGATGGGGGTGAACAGTCGGAACATGTTGAGTGATGGTGGTGTGATACAGTCCAGGATACATGTACTGAGTGATGGTGGTGGTGATACAGTCCAGGATACATGTACTGAGTGATGGTGGTGGTGATACAGTCCAGGATACATGTACTGAGTGATGGTGGTGGTGATACAGTCCAGGATACATGTACTGAGTGATGGTGGTGGTGATACAGTCCAGGATACATGTACTGAGTGATGGTGGTGGTGATACAGTCCAGGATACATGTACTGAGTGATGGTGGTGGTGATACAGTGGTAGTCATACAGTCAGTCAAGATTCTCACTCACAAAAATATCGCGGCTCAGGGATGGCACGACAAAACTTGGTGCAGCCAGCCGAGCATCATGGCGGGCAACTCGCGTCGTGGAATCTAATTCCATCCTGGCGACGTCAGAAGCAACGACGTCGCTACGATATGCGTCAGCGCCTCTACGTCAGCGAGTCGATGCATCGCAAAAACTAAACAAATGCTGCATTCAAACATGTATTTTGAGTTGCGCCCGTGTCATGTGTTTTCGATTTTCGTAGCTGGCGCGGCTACAGTAAATTAGACTCTGAGATGGGAAGCAAGTTTTCTCTGAATCGTTAGGCTGCTAGAATACCTCTTCTTGTTCCTAGCAATGTGTGTGTTTGTGTGTGAATGTTCGTTTAGGATAACCGGGGCACATTGGTTGGTCAGTGGAGGTGGTGTGTTATAAAACTGCATAGCTGTGTCAGGTATAAATAGGGAAACAAGGGTCGTGAGGGTGTACCCACTCACCTGTAGCTGCGTGGGCGAAGACGCTGAGTCGCCCTGATCCCGTCACGTGGAGAGGCCCTCTCTTCTCTCTTCTTCTCATCTCTTACTTCTTCTTTCTCCCTCTCTTCCTGCTCTTCTACTCCTTCTATTCCTCCGTCTCCTACCGCCACGTCCTGCTCGTCTGCTGATTCCTCGCGACGTCCCTCAGCGTCCTTGGATGGAGAAGGAGGGATAGAGTCGTCCTGACGCTTGTCCTCCTTGATGAACTGGACGTGATCTGCTCCCTCTTGTTTTGGGACGGTGTGTCGAGCCTCACACAGATTGCTATTACCCACCTCGACCACAACACTTATTATGCTCTCCCCTGGAGGACTGCCTTTCCCTGGGTCCCCCTGCGACTCCCCCTTCATCTCACCACTTCCCTGAGGGATGCCTTCGCTCTCAGCCCCCTGAGTATCCTCGACCAGCGAGCTCGGGAGAGGCGCCCCCGGCTCCCCTTCCTCGTCCTCAGTCTCGACGATGTCCGAGATGGGCCACGTCTCGTGTCCGCTCTCTCCCGCAGCTCGTCCCTCGTCCTCGAGGTCATCGTCGTCTTCTTCGTCCGAGAATGGAAAGGCTAAGGTCACACGCGAGGTTGAAGGTTCGTCAGTCTTGGCCAGGGCGATCTGGTAGGGCAGATGGGACACTTTATCCTTTTTACACTTGCATTCATCCTTTCTCTCCTTCCACTTGCATTGTTCTCTATCCTTTTTTATCCATTTATCACGCTCCTGTTCCTCTGCAGCTGTCTTCCACGCAAGTCCATCTTTATTTCCTCTCCAGTTGCACTCATCCTTGCTCTTTTTCCACTTGTAATTATCCCTATCTTTCTTCCACTTATATTCCTGCTTGCCCCACTTGTTATTCTCACCACTTTTGTTGCACTTGCTTTCCTCATTGTAACTCTTCCACTTATTCCTATCGCTTTTCCACTTACAGTTGCTCCTCCACTCGCTAGTGTCACTTTCTTCCTTCTGTTTACCTTCTTCAAGAGCTTCTCTCTCTTTCGCCCCTTCGTCCTTGAGGGGCTCTCCCTGTCCCTCCCAAGCCCCCTCGTGCTCGCCCCTGGTCTGCGGGCTGCTGAGGGCTGAGTGGGGGTCTGTCTGTGCCGCTCCTGGTGGTACATATGTCTTAAACTGGTGGTGGAGGGAAGGTTGTCTAGTCAGGCCAAGACGCAGGGGGTCCAGTGCGCACGTGTGGCGGTAAGGGTGTGGGTGAGGATAGGTTAGGGTGGAGGGGGTGGCGTGGGCGCAGCATGGGCGATGCTGGGCGGAGAAGCGCCCGTGGGCGAGGCTGAAAGGACTAGCGGTGCTGGCGAACTCGCCAGGGGCGGCGCCATGAGAGGGGCGAGTAAAAGCGCGAATGGGACCCATCGTGGCTTACATGGCAGCGGGACCTTTGCTGCTGCCGCTGTCTGCTGCCACTTCTGCTGCAGCTGTCTGCTGTTACTGCTAGTGCAGCTGTCGCGAATGCTCCTTCGTTCCACTCCGCACCTTCTGCTGCAGAAGGTGCAGACGCGTGGACCGAACTGCAATCCAGAGCGCACTAAAACTAAGCTCACCGACGGGATCTTTGCGTTGGTGAGGCACTGCTCCTTCCTGCCGGAGGCGCGGGGGAAGGAGCCCGTCAGGGTCGCCGCATGCTGGCTGCGGCTGCGGCAGCGGCGGCGGCGATGGACCTGGCACCTGCGGGAAATGGTTGGTTACTGGCATGAGAGAGACTGCGGAGGGGTGGCCAATAGTGGCCAAAGGGGCGGGGACGGAGTGCCATTAGTAACCAAAAGGGAGAAAGAGGCAGGTATGTAAGAGTGTGTGCGTGTGTATGTATGTATGTATTATATATATATATATATTTATATATATATATATATATATATATATATATATATATATATATACATAGTGCCGAATAGGTAAAATTGGTCATTTAGTAAGAACTCATTTAAAATTATGTCCTTTTTAAATTTTTCTCTTATGCGTTTAAAAATATACTTTTTTTCATCGATGTTAATGTAAAAATTAATAATTTTGTACCAAAAGAACCTTAGAAAATTTACCAAACCTTATTATAACAAGCGCCTTATCCAACTAAATATATTTTAGATAAGTTTACAATAATATAATAATAAACAAATGAATTATTTTTTTTTCGTTAGGTTCAGAATGATTTTGGCGAAATTACCGCAGACACAAATTTTCGCTTGTCTTATTCGGCAAGAAGAGAGTTTCTGTTTAAGCCAAAATTGCAAGTCTTACCTATTGGGCACGAAAATCACACGACGAAAAACACACGACGCTCTAACCCACAGGACCACCCAATCCTACAAAGATCACACACACAGAAGAACTTGGGTTAGAGCGTCGTGAGATTGTCGCTCACCATGAGTCGGGCCAAAACAACATGGGTTCGAGCCCTCGGCTAGTTGCAGTGTTGTTATTGATTAAAAAACACTCGTTTGTGGTTACAATACATATATATATATATATATATTATATATAGTTATATATATATATATATATAAATATATATACACATATTATTTGTATATATATATATATTTATATATATATATATATATATATATATTATATATATATATATACTAATATATATATATATATGCGCTAGCAATGAGGCGGAGCTTGGAGCTGTGACCAGACCCCTACAACCACAAATAGGCGAGCACAAATGAGTACACAAACGGGCTTAGTGCTTCATCGTGAATAATAATAATAATAATAATAATAATAATAATAATAATAATAATAATAATAATAATAATAATAATAATATAGCATTGGGTCACTTGATATTATTTACTTACAAGCCACACGACCCCCACTCACCCACTCACAAGCCACACGACCCTCACTCACCCACTCACAAGCCACACGACCCTCACTCACCCACTTACAAGCCACACGACCCCCACTCACCCACTTACAAGCCACACGACCCCCACTCACCCACTTACAAGCCACACGACCCCCACTCACCCACTCACAAGCCACACGACCCTCACTCACCCACTTCAAGCCACACGACCCCACTCACCCACTTACAAGCCACACGACCCCCACTCACCACCCACAGCCACACGACCCCCACTCACCCACTCACAAGCCACACGACCCCCACTCACCCACTTACAAGCCACACGACCCCCACTCACCCACTCACAAGCCACACGACCCCCACTCACCCCCACTCACACCACACGACCCCCCACCCACTCACAAGCCACACGACCCCCACTCAACCACTCACAAGCCACACGACCCCACTCACCCACTCACAAGCCACACGACCCCCACTCACCCACTCACAAGCCACACGACCCCCACTCACCCACTTACAAGCCACACGACCCCCACTCACCCACTCACAAGCCACACGACCCCCACTCACCCACTCACAAGCCACACGACCCCCACTCACCCACTCACAAGCCACACGACCCCCACTCACCACTCACAAGCCACACGACCCCACTCACCCACCCACAAGCCACACGACCCCCACTCACCCACCCACAAGCCACACGACCCCACTCACCACCCACAAGCCACACGACCCCACTCACCCACCTCACAAGCCACACGACCCCCACTCACCCACTCACAAGCCACACGACCCCCACTCACCCACCACAAGCCACACGACCCCACTCACCCACTCACAAGCCACACGACCCCCACTCACCCACCCACAAGCCACACGACCCCACTCACCCACTCACAAGCCACACGACCCCCACTCACCCACCACAAGCCACACGACCCCCACTCACCCATCTACAAGCCACACGACCCCCACTCACCACCCACAAGCCACACGACCCCCACTCACCCACCACAAGCCACACGACCCCCACTCACCCACCACAAGCCACACGACCCCACTCACCCACCACAAGCCACACGACCCCCACTCACCCACCTACAAGCCACACGACCCCCACTCACCCACCCACAAGCCACACGACCCCCACTCACCCACCCACAAGCCACACGACCCCACTCACCCACCCACAAGCCACACGACCCCCACTCACCCACCACAAGCCACACGACCCCCACTCACCCACTCACAAGCCACACGACCCCCACTCACCCACTCACAAGCCACACGACCCCCATCACCCACCACAAGCCACACGACCCCCACTCACCCACTCACAAGCCACACGACCCCCACTCACCCACTCACAAGCCACACGACCCCACTCACCCCACTTACAAGCCACACGACCCCCACTCACCCACTCACAAGCCACACGACCCCCACTCACCCACTCACAAGCCACACGACCCCCACTCACCCACTCACAAGCCACACGACCCCACTCACCCACTCACAAGCCACACGACCCCCACTCACCCACTTACAAGCCACACGACCCCCACTCACCCATCACAAGCCACACGACCCCCACTCACCCACCACAAGCCACACGACCCCCACTCACCCACTCACAAGCCACACGACCCCCACTCACCCACTCACAAGCCACACGACCCCCACTCACCACCACAAGCCACACGACCCCACTCACCCACTCACAAGCCACACGACCCCCACTCACCCACTCACAAGCCACACGACCCCCACTCACCCACTCACAAGCCACACGACCCCACTCACCCACTCACAAGCCACACGACCCCCACTCACCCACTTACAAGCCACACGACCCCACTCACCCACTTACAAGCCACACGACCCCCATCACCCATCCAGCCCACACTCACTCTCAAGCCACACGACCCCCACTCACCCACTCACTAGCCACACGACCCCCACTCACCCACTCACAAGCCACACGACCCCCACTCACCCACTCACAAGCCACACGACCCCCACTCACCCCACTCACAAGCCACACGACCCCCACTCACCCACTCACAAGCCACACGACTCCCACTCACCCACTCACAAGCCACACGACCCCCACTCACCACTTACAAGCCACACGGACCCCCACTCACCCACTTACAGCACACACCCCCACTCACCCCTCACAAGCCACACGACTCCCACTCACCCACTCACAAGCCACACGACCCCACTCACCCACCACAAGCCACACGAACCCCACATCACCCACTCACAAGCCACACGACCCCCACTCACCCACTCACAAGCCACACGACCCCACTCACCCACCCACAAGCCACACGACCCCCACTCACCCACTTACAAGCCACACGACCCCCACTCACCCACTCCACAAGCCACACGACCCCCACTCACCTACCACAAGCCACACGACCCTCACTCAACCACTTACAAGCCACACGACCCTCACTCACCACTCACAAGCCACACGACCCCCACTCACCCAATCACAAGCCACAAGACCCTCACTCACCCACTCACAACCCACGACCTCACCACCCACTACAAGCCACACACCCCCACTCACCCACTTACAAGCCGCACACCCCACTCACCCACTCCAAAGCCGCACACCCCCACTCACCCACTCACAAGCCCACGACCCCCATCACCCACCAAAGCCCAACGACCCCACTACCCACTCACCAGCCCACGACCCCCACTCCCCACTTACAACCCCACGACCCCCACTCCACCACTCACAAGCCATCGACCCCACTCACCACTCACAAGCCACACATCCCCCTTCACCACTTACAAGGCCACGACCCCCATCACCACTTACAAGCCACACACCCCCATTTCACCACTCCAACCACACGACCCACTCGACACTACAAGCCACGACCCACTCACCCACTTACAAGCCCACGACCCCCAGTGCACCCACTGCAGGCCACACGTCCGCCACTCACCCTCCAAGCACACGTCCCCACTCACCACTTACAAGCCACACGGACCCCACTCACCCACTACACAGCCACACGACCCTCACTCACCCACTTACAAGCCACACGACCCTCACTCACCCACTCACAGCCACACGACCCCACTCATCCACTCACAAGCCACAAGACCCTCACTCACCACTCACAAGCCACACGACCCTCACTCACCCACTTTCAAGCCACACGACCCCCACTCAACCCACTTACAAGCCACACGACCCCCACCCCACCCACTCACAAGCCACACGACCCCCACTCACCCACTCACAAGCCACACGCCCCCATTCACCCACTCACAAGCCACACGACCCCCACTCACCCACTCACAAGCCACACGAACCCACTCACCCACTCACAAGCCACACGACCCCCACTCACCCACTCACAAGCCACACGACCCCCACTCACCCACTCACAAGCCACACGACCCCCACTCACCCACTCACAAGCCACACGACTCCCACTCACCCACCCACAAGCCACACGACCCCCACTCTCCCCCCACAAGCCACACGACCCCCACTCACCCACTCACAAGCCACACGACCCCCACTCAACCCACTCACAGCCACACGACCCCCACCTCACCCACTCACAAGCCACACGACCCCCACTCACCCACTCACAAGCCACAAAGACCCCCCACTCACCCACTCACAAGCCACACGACTCCCACTCAACCCACCCACAAGCCACACGACCCCCACTCTCCCACCCACCAAACCACACGACCCCATCCCTACCACAAGCCACACGACCCCCCTCACCCACCACAAGCACACGACCCCCCCTCACCCACCCACAAGCCACAGACCCCACTCACCCACCCACAAGCCACACGACCCCCCCTCACCCCCCCCCAAGCCACACGACCCCCCCTCCCCCACCCACAAGCCACACGACCCCCACTCACCCACCCACAAGCCACACGACCCCCACTCACCTACCCACAAGCCACACGACCCCCACTCACCTCACCCACAAGCCACACGACCCCCACTCATCTACCCAATCTCCAGGTAGAACCCTCAAGCCGTCTAACCTCCACTCACCCACCCACTCAAAAGCCGTCTAACCCCCACTCACCCACCCATAAGCCGTCTAACCTCCACTCACCCACCCATTAGCCGTCTAACCTCCACTCACCCACCCACTAGCCGTCTAACCCCCACTCACCAACCCATAAGCCGCTTAACTCCCGCCCACCCACCCACATGCGGATCAACCTCCGCCCACCCACCCAAAATTCAACCAACATGCACACTTTTGCTCTGACGGGCGCAGATGCCGCATACCACCCAACACCAGTGTGATGGGTGAACACTGCTGCCGCCCACCCCCGCCTCCAGGTGGCGCCAGGTGGCGGTGGGCGGCCGTGTGCCGGCTCAGCTGGCTCTCTGACCATCCAGACCAGCTGGTCTAGCAGCCGGGTCAGCTGATCTAGACCAGCTGTGTGGGCGTGAAGGGAGAGAGATAACACCATACTCACTAGCGTGTGGGCGGTGTGGGCGTGTGGGCGCTGGTGCTTGCCATGATGGTGCCGCTGCTGTTGCAAGCCCTCACAGTGCCACAGTGAGACTGGCAGGTGTTAGACCGGTGCCAGGCACTCCTGGGCACCTGAGAGACGCTAATTGGTGGATACTGGCACTGGGCGGGGCCACATACCCACACACACACATACACACACACACACACTTACATACGCACACCTACACACACACACACCTCAATATTGGCACCCATTGGCACCCATTATGATGTCTTCCTATTAAAGAGCTCTTGATCAAGGGGACAGGAGCCCCCTGCCCTTCCCTACCCCATCACCCTGTCCCCCATTTATTATATGTTAATAGACATAATGGCAGTTACTGGTCCGCCATTTGCCAGAGTGCCCCATCTACCTGGCCATACCTACCCATCCCCTACCCCACAACACGCCCGCGCCTGTAGTTACCCACGCCCACGCCCATCACCACGGCCTCAACACAGGACGAGTTGTTACACGGGCTGGACTAGGAGGTTGTTCCACTTGTTCAGGGAACCGACTGGCTGTTGTTCACTGTCTTGAGAGTTTCAACAGCGTCTACCTGACCCCCCCCCCCCCACTACCCCACCTCACTTCCGGCCATCTTATGGCACTCCCGCTGGAGAATGGGGAGGCTGGGGAATGGGGAGGTTGGGAAATGGAAGGATGGGAAATAGGGAGGCTGGGGAGTGGGGGTAAGAATGGGAGAAGGGGGGTTGAGAATGGGGAAATGAGTGAGATGAATGGGGAGAGTGGGGAATGAAGAGGCTGGGGAATGGGAGATTGGGAATGAGGGTATGGGGAATGGAGAGGCTAGAGAATGAGGAGGCTGGAGGGGTGAGGCTGGGGAATGGGGAGGCTGGGAATGGGGAGGCTGGAGAATGAGGAGGCTGGAGGGGTGAGGCTGGGGAATGGGGAGGCTGGGAATGGGGAGGCTGGAGAATGGGGAGGCTGGGAAATGAGGAGCAAATGGGGTAAAAAGGAGATAAAATGCCAATGTTTTCCCCACCCATCACAAGCTCACCCATTAACTTTTCCCCAGACCTTCCCCACCCATTCGAAATACCGAAGATATCAAAATAAGTGTAAAGGGACCAAGACTCTTCAACAGCCTTCATCAATAAAGGGAAATCCCCAATTTGATGAGTTCCTCTATTTAGTTATCATTATAATTATCATATTTTTAACTGTTATCATCATTAGTGTTATTATTATTATTATTATTATTATTATTATTATTATTATTATTATTATTAATTATTATTATTTATTAATTATTATTATTATTAATTATTATTATTATTATTATTATTATTATTATTATTATTTATTATTATTATTATATTATTATTATTATTATTATTATTTTATTATTATTATATTATTATATTATTATTATTATTATTATATAATTATTATTATTATTAATTATTATTTATTATTATTATTTATTATATTAATTATTATTATTATTATTTTTATTATTATTATTAATTATATTATTATTATTATTTTTATTATTTATTATTATTATTATTATTATTTTTTTTTATTATTATATTATTATTATTATATTATTATTATATATTATTATTATTATTTTTATTATTATTATTATTATTATTTTATTATCATTATTATTATTATCATTATTATTATTATTATTATTATTATTATTTTTATTATTATTATTATTATTATATTATTATATTTTTATTATTATTATCATTATTATTATTATTATTATTATTATTATTAATTATTATTATTATTATTATTATTATTATTATTATTATTATTATTAATTATTATTATTATTATTTATTATTATTAATTATTATTATTATTATTATTATTATTATTATTATTATTATTGTCAATATTATTTAACGTTTTCCGTCATCGCTGTAACTTTTCTAGTTATAATTATAATAATTATAATAATTATAATAATTATAATAATTATAGCAATTATAATAATTAGTAATAACTAATCGATTTACTTATTGATGGAATTTTGAGGATAATGAATGATTATTTTTAGGCAATGTATTAATTAAACGAACGTTTAGTGTTGGAAAACTCATCTACATTCGTTAAACGCGAGTTCGTTGCTTCACTCTCTTCGTTAAACGCAGGTTTACTGTCGCTAAACTCTGCTGCCTTCGTTATACGTGAGTTCAATACTTGATAATCTTCACTCTCTTTGTTAAACGCGAGTTCATTGCCTCACTCTCTTTGTTAAACGCAGGTTTACTGTCGCTAAACTCTGCTGCCTTCGTTATACGTGAGTTCAATACTTGATAATCTTCACTCTCTTTGTTAAACGCGAGTTCATTGCCTCACTCTCTTTGTTAAACGCAGGTTTACTGTCGCTAAACTCTGCTGCCTTCGTTATACGTGAGTTCAATACTTGATAATCTCCACTCTCTTTGTTAAACGCGAGTTCATTGCCTCACTCTCTTCGTTAAACGCAGGTTTACTGTCGCTAAACTCTGCTGCCTTCGTTATACGTGAGTTCAATACTTGATAATCTCCACTCTCTTTGTTAAACGCGAGTTCATTGCCTCACTCTCTTCGTTAAACGCAGGTTTACTGCCGCGGAACTCTGCTGCCTTCGTTGAACGCAAGTTTGGCGTTAAATGCAACTGATCGAGCTCTCGTTTATTACATTATAGATCAGGACAACACCATTTGTGAACACATGGGATAAGACACATGTGTATCACTGAGACATTTGTCCCCAGGGGACATACATGTGTACCAGAGGACACATATTTGTAAAGGAGAACACCCATGTGTACCAAAGGACACATATTCGTTACAGAAGACGCATATTTGTACCAGAGGATACATATTTGTACCGGAGGGCACATATTTATACCAGAGGACACATATTCGTGCAAGAGGACACATTCGTTCCAGAGGACACATTTTTGTACCAGAGGACACATATTTGCACCCAGGACCATTTATGTACAAGGAGCATTTTTTGGGAGAGTACACATATTTGCACCAGAGGACACATATTTGTACCAGAGGACACATATTTGTGCAAGAGGACACATATTTGTACCAGAGGACACATATTTGTACCAGAGGACACATATTTGTACCAGAGGACACATATTTGTACCAGAGGACACATATTTGTACCAGAGGACACATTTTTGTACCATTGGACACCTACTTGTACCATAGGACACATATTCAACTTGTTTAGATATATTATTCAGATGTTTCGCCCAAGAAGTTTCTTCTTAGAGTTTCTTGAGATGTTCTCTAAAACACGTTCTTCTTAAAGGAGTCGTTCTTAAGGAGTCGTTCTTAAGGAGTCGTTCTTAAGGAGTCGTTCTTAAGGAGTAGTTCTTAAGGAGTCGTTCTTAAGGAGTCGTTCTTAAGGAGTCGTTCTTAAGGAGTCGTTCTTAAGGAGTTGTTCTTAAGGAGTCGTTCTTAAGGAGTCGTTCTTAAGGAGTCGTTCTTAAGGAGTCGTTCTTAAGGAGTCGTTCTTAAGGAGTCGTTCTTAAGGAGTCGTTCTTAAGGAGTCGTTCTTAAGAGAAGTTCGTTCTTAAGGAGTCGTTCTTAAGGAGTCGTTCGTAAGGAGTCGTTCTTAAGGAGTCGTTCTTAAGGAGTTGTTCTTAAGGAGTAGTTCTTAAGGAGTCGTTCTTAAGGAGTCGTTCTTAAGGAGTCGTTCTTAAGGAGTCGTTCTTAAGAAGTCGTTCTTAAGAAGTAGTTCTTAAGGAGTCGTTCTTGAGGAGTAGTTCTTAAGGAGTCGCTCTTAAGGAGTCGTTCTTAAGGAGTCGTTCTTAAGGAGTCATTCTTAAGGAGTCGTTCTTAAGGAGTAGTTCTTAAGGAGTCGTTCTTAAGGAGTCGTTCTTAAGGAGTCGTTCTTAAGGAGTCGTTCTTAAGGAGTCGTTCTTAAGGAGTCGTTCTTAAGGAGTCGTTCTTAAGGAGTCGTTCTTAAGGAGTCGTTCTTAAGGAGTCGTTCTTAAGGAGTAGTTCTTAAGGAGTCGTTCTTAAGGGAATCGTTCTTAAGGGTAGTTCTTAAGGAGTCGTTCTTAAGGAGTCGTTCTTAAGGAGTCGTTCTTAAGGAAATCGTTCTTAAGGAGTAGTTCTTAAGGAGTGTTCTTAAGGAGTCGTTTTAAGGAGTCGTTCTTAAGAAGTCGTTCTTAAGAAGTCGTTCTTAAGGAGTAGTTCTTAAGGAGTCGTTCTTAAGAAGTCGTTCTTAAGGAGTAGTTCTTAAGGAGTCGTTCTTAAGGAGTCGTTCTTAAGGAGTAGTTCTTAAGGAGTCGTTCTTAAGGAGTAGTTTTTAAGGAGTAGTTCTTAAGGAGTCGCTCTTAAGGAGTCGTTCTTAAGGAGTCGTTCTTAAGGAGTCGTTCTTAAGGAGTCGTTCTTAAGAGTCGTTCTTAAGGAGTAGTTCTTAAGGAGTCGTTATTAGAGTGCTCTTAGGTAGTTTCTCTTTAAAGGAGTCGTTCTTAAGGAGTCGTTCTTAAGGAGTCGTTCTTAAGAAGTCGTTCTTAAGAAGTAGTTCTTAAGGAGTCGTTCTTGAGGAGTAGTTCTTAAGGAGTCGCTCTTAAGGAGTCGTTCTTAAGGAGTCGTTCTTAAGGAGTCGTTCTTAAGAAGTCGTTCTTAAGAAGTAGTTCTTAAGGAGTCGTTCTTAAGGAGTCGCTCTTAAGGAGTCGTTCTTAAGGAGTCGTTCTTAAGGAGTCGTTCTTAAGGAGTCGTTCTTAAGGAGTCGTTCTTAAGGAGTCGTTCTTAAGGAGTCGTTCTTAAGGAGTCGTTCTTAAGGAGTCGTTCTTAAGGAGTCGTTCTTAAGGAATCGTTCTTAAGGAGTAGTTCTTAAGGAGTCGTTCTTAAGGAGTCGTTCTTAAGGAGTAGTTCTTAAGAAGTCGTTCTTAAGGAGTAGTTCTTAAGGAGTCGTTCTTAAGGAGTCGTTTTTAAGGAGTCGTTCTTAAGAAGTAGTTCTTAAGAAGTCGTTCTTAAGGATGTTAGGGAGCTTTAAGGAGTCGTTCTTAAGAGTCGTTCTTAAGGAGTAGTTCTTAAG